TCTAATCCTCATGAGCCAGTTTCCACCCTGGGCAGCCGCTATGTGTAAACAGAAAGAGAAGGACAGCAAAATGTTTAGGGTTCATGTGTTAGGGGCTGGAGCCCTTTCAATGGAGACTGCCACAGGGAGACTAATTCCCCAGGAAGAAGGCCCATTTCCTACCCACAGGAGCAGCTAGAGCATGGACTAAGGCTCCTGCCTCGTCCAACCAGGATCTTATGTGGTAACTGTTCCTTCCCTAGAAGAAGCAAGAAAATCCTAGGATGAATCCCATATATTGATCAACAAGTCAATGATAGCAAACACATAATGGCCTCATACTCTACAATGCATGTTGTCCCACCTTCTTTATGTGTATTAACTCATCTAATTCATACAATAATTCTATGGAGTATGTGCTACTGTTATCCCATCTTACAGAGAGGAAAACTGAAACAGAGAAGATGAGCAAATTTTCCAGAGACACATAGCTATAAATGGCAAAGTGAAGATTCAAACCCAAGTAGGCCTCATCACTATCTTCCCACTGCTGTGTGAGTATAGCTGGCCCTTGGGTCTCAGGGAACTAACAACTCCAACTGACCTTCTCATGGGCCAAGTACTTGGCAGACAAAATGATGACCTGGCTCCTGGCCCAGCCTGAGACCTGGTTAAGGGTGGAGATGGCACTGTGCACGGACTCAGGGGAGAGGGATTCCAGTTGACTGTAGGTCAACCCCACAACTGCATCTGACAAAGAGCCCAGTGTCTCGTTGAGGGTCTGGTTCTCAGTGGCAATGTCCAGGAGATCGGCTTTGAGCTAGAAAGGGAACAAACAACCTAGAATAAATGTTGACAGAAACCAGGCAGTTGCTTCCCCTATCTCCATCCCAGGGTGTAAGGATTCTACACCACCCTCCGTCAAGCCTGCCCCTCCAAGCTCTGGGACAACAGATAAGGGAGAAAAACTCTTACCACATCCAAACACTGAGCCAACCCCTGCAAATACCTTCTCTGGCCTTGGCTTTCATGTGCTATAAATTCACTTTGTGCTTCATTTAAATGTTAATTTGTTATTAAATCATCTTTAAAGCAAAGCAGAAGGAAATTTTGTTCACTTCAAGCCTAACTTCATCACATTCCTTTCCTTTGTGACCTTGAACTTTATATCCATGTATGTGGCTGCTTCTCGTTCATGAAGCATCTGGTGGTGGTTTTTTCCATAATATATAATCTGTGTAAAAATCATTCTCAATAG